CATTAGCAAAATACAGATAATGTTTTTCACAGTTCAACCAGGATCCTCATCAATACATTGCAAATAAAGAGTGGGATCCATCAATAACTCCTGCCCTTTGGTCACTGCAGGATCCACTACATAGTTACCAACTTCAACTTCTTGACTCAAAAGTTGCAACCAGTATTTTGAGCAGAGCTTAATGAATAATAATATCGCCACCAGGTGGCTGTGTTAGTACTTTTATCAAAATTTGAAAGCAGCTTCAGCAACTGCAGGCAATTTTTGAGCAATGTTTAAAGCAGTTCTTTTGTGAGATGTTGTTCATAAACTCCCACTAATTGTGTCATAAATCAAGTAATTCTATGGACGGTTTTATGGAAACTAGTGGAAGCAATTCTGAGGGACAGAATTAATTTGCACTGGAGGGACAAGGATTAGTCAAGAACTTCAGCAAGGCTTTTGATCGGGTCCAGCATGAGACTTACAGTAAATGTAACAGCCCATGGAATCCAAGGAAATTGGATCCAGATTTGACTGAGTGGCAGCAAGTAATGAATGATGTCGGAAGGGTATTTTTGTGACAGGAGGCCTGTGTCCAATGGGTTTCTGCAAAGATCAGAGTTGATGCCCTTGCTGTTTGTGGTATATATAAACAATTTGAATATAGGAGAGGAGTTTGCAGATGATACAAAAATTGGTGGTGTCATAAATAGTGAGGAGGATAGCCTTAGATTATGGAGGATATAGATAGGGTTGCCAGACGGTCCAATCAGTGGCAAATGGAATTCATTTTAGATAAGTGTGAGGGGTTGCACATGCGTAGCATAGTCAAGCCAGAGGAAAACATGATGAACAGTAGGACCCTGTGAAGCACTGAGGAACAAAGGAACTTAGTGTAAATGTCCACCATTTACACTGCAAACACCAGTGGCTGGATCCCTCCTTGATCCAAGGCCACTAATTGGTGTCATATTGGCAGCAGCCATAATCTCCACAGTGGTACCAAGTACTGAAGAACTGTCAGCATCTGATTGGCTGCAGCTCTGAACATGAAGGGGGTACTGTCACGGAGATCCTCACTCCTGTGAGAAAGCCCACCTCTGGCCTGTTATGTGCCTGAGCTGCAAAAGGTATCTTTTTTCTCAAAAACAGGCAACAGGGGAATCTTGCTGCCAGTCTAGCTGGAGGCCAAGATCACCATCAACTCCATAAGACTCCTCTCTCCCTTACAATGGTTCTCAACAGATTTTGATTATCCAGCCACTTAACATAATACAGTCATGTGTGGGTCTCTTCTTCCCTATTGCCAAAATAAAGAACACAGAACACTGCAGGGAGAGGCACGCTGTTCCAGAGAACTGGAGGTGGCCGTCATGCTGATAGGTGCAGAGGAGAAAGTGCTGAAGATAAACTGAGTCTCTAAATGGAGGGATGAAGGCTGCCCAGCTTCCTGGTGACACATGCCACACAACACTCACTCATTTTGACTTAATTCAACAGTTAGTGAAATGTGTTCATGTACACAATGATGACTACTGTTTTAAAACTTGAAAGTTGTTGTCTTTCACTTCCCTCAGATTGTCATCAGTCCAACAGGAACGTATCAGGCTAATGAAGACTCCTCGGAGGAAGCCTTTTGCTGTCAGGATGTACTGTCAGAGGACTCAAGCACATCATGCCCAGCTCAGATGCACATAGCTTAATTGGACTGCAAAGACAGATAGGTAGGTTTTCATATGTACATCACTAGTGAGCAAGAACAGGTGGTAGAGGCAGGGGCACTCCCCAGATGAGGGTCCAGGATTTTCCAATTCCTACTCAGCTGGACATGGATGCTGAAGTTCATAAGCTATTCAGGAACTGAATAGTTCTACAGCAGCACTGTCTCTTGCTGCCAGTTGCACTGCTGTCCTTACTTGGAGAGAGATTGTGACAGCCTTTCTCTAGTGTAAGTGCCATGATGTCACAGGACTTGAACTCCATGAAGATTGTTACCAACAGTACAGTTCCAAAATCCAGAGGTTAGCAGCCAAAGGTATCTCAGCAGTCAGAGTGAGGTGATCTCATTGAAACATTTAGGATTCTTAAGGGACTTGACAGGGTAAATGCTGAGGGGATGTTTCCTCTCATGGGAGAATTGAGGACCAGAGGGTATTGTCTCAGAATAACAGGATGCCAATTTAAGATTGAGCTGAGGAGGAATTTATTCTCTCAGCAGTCAGGGCAGTCTGCATCCAATTCTGCACCAGGTAGGGTAGTAGATTAAAGAGAAAAGATGTTTGGTATAAGCTTATGCAGATGAGTGTTTGACATTAAATTGCGTTATTAAGTTTCCATTCAGTTTTTCTGCAAGGTTAAAATTATAATTTGTGTTCTCTCATTTTGCTCTTCTTTGCTAAATGCATGGCAGGTGGCAGTGAAATTGTGACGAATGAAGTTAAAGTCAGCTACCTGTGACGGAGCTGATGTCAAACTGTTTTGTTGGGGAATAGGAGGCAGGAGGTCCAGGGTTCAGAATGTGGTTGCAGATACAAACTGTGCCTGAATTAAACTTCCTGCGCAGTTATATGCAATACTACAGCTGTCCTCACCACATCATGTTCCGCTTCCTTCACTGTGCTTGGGACTTTTATCTTCCTGCAGCTCCAATCTTTGTTTTACTTTGTCATATAAAGCGCAGCACACCTTTATCATTCCTGATAGCCAGTCAGGGGCAGAGTACCCCTAATCTCTTCAGGCACTTAAAGTACATATTCAACATATTGATTGCTTGCTTGATGATAACTCTCATAGTTGGGTGGCTTTTCTTGCATCTCTTATAGGAATAATTTTTTAGGTTCTAATAGATGTCATCAGTCAGGTCTTCAGTGGGTTGTCCTTGTCTCCAAAGTGTTAGCCATTGACTCTGTTTCATGGTGCAAAGAAGCTTGCCTGGCAGAGGATGAGAGCATAATGGTAGGTTCTTGGAACATTGCACAATCATGTGTAATGATCTTTAAACACTTAAAACAAATTTCACAGTGATACAATGGAAGGCCTTGAAGTTGACCTATGGGGAACATGTGCAGTTAAAGACTCCCAGGCACTCTGGAAACCAGTCAGAGCCGTAAAACCAAACTTCCACCTGTTCTGACTTGGCCCCATCTGTCATAAGGTGACCATAAGAAATAGGAACAGGAACAGGCCATTTGGGCCCTTAAGCCTGCTCTGCCATTCAATAAGATCATAGCTGATCTGACATTGCTCACATCCAGTTTCCGGTATTTTCCCCATAACTCTTTATTCCCCTACTGATCAAGAATCTATCTCTCAGTTTGAAACGTACACAAAGATTTGTCTCCCACAGCTCTCTGTGGCAAGCAGTTTCCAAGATTCTAAAACTTTCTGAGAGAATAAATTCCTCCTCAGCTTAATCTTAAATTGGCATCCTGTTATTCTGAGACAATACCCTCTGGTCCTAGATTCTCCCATGAGAGGAAACATCCCCTCAGCATTTACCCTGTCAAGCCCCTTAAGAATCCTAAATGTTTCAATGAGATCACCTCATTCTTCTAAACTCCAGTGACAGAGTTCCAACCTGTTTAGCCTTTGCTCATTAGACAATTGTGCAAGTGAACCTTCTCTGTATTGCATATAATTAATTATCTTTCTTTAAATAACGGTACTAAAACTGCTCATGGTACTCCAGATGTGGTCTCACCAGCACCATGTACTATTGCAATAAGACTTCACTACTCTTATACTTCAACCGTCTTGAATTAACCTTCCTGATTATCTGCTGCACCTGTGTGCTAGCTTTCTGTTTTGTGCACAAGTACCCCCAAGTCCCTTTGTGTTGCAGCTTTCTGCAGTTTTTCTCCATTTAAATAATACTGTTCTTTTGTCCTCCCCTCCAAAATGAACAACTTTGCATTTTCCCACATTACACTCTATTTGTCAAATTTTTCCCAACTTATGTAACCTTTCAATATATATGTGCAGCTGTAACCTTGTATGCCTTGTTCTGTCTAAGCACCCTATGATCTATAAGTCCTTGAGTACTGTGATCTGCCCGCACTGCTTGCAAAACCAAACTTTTTACTGCACTTAGTGATAACAATAAATCAAATCAAATCAATTGTATCACAAAAAATCATAGAAGCCCTACAGTGCACAAAGAAGCCATTCAGCTCATTGAGTCTGCACCAACCCTCCAAAGAGCATTCCATCCAGACCTAGACCCCTACCCCCTAATCCCGTAACCCTATGTTCATCCTGGCTAATCCACCTAGCCTGCACACCATGCGGCAATTTAGCATGGCCAATCCACTTAACCTGCACATCTTTGGATTATAACCTATATCCCCTTCGCAACTTGCCTTTCATCTATTTTTGTGTCATCTGCAAATTTGGCTATAGTACATTCATTTCCTTCCTCCGAATCATTAATATATATTGTAAACAGTTGCTGTCTCAGCACTGATCCCTTTCTTACCCCACTGGTCACAGGTTGCCAACCTGAAAAAAAAAATACACTCATCCCAACTCACTGTTTCCTGCCCATTAACCAATTCTTCATCTGTGGTAATGTACTATCTCCCACACCATGGGTTCTTATCTTACGACTTAACCTTTTGTGAGGTACATTGTCGAACACCTTCTGCAAGTCCATATACAGCATATCTACTGGTTCCCTCTATCTAATCTGGTTGAAAAACCCTCAAAACTCTCATAAATTAGTCAGAAATTATTTCACTTTTGTGAGGCCATGCTGATTCTGCTTGACTAGATTGTATTTCAAAATATGCACAATTCCAAACAAGCATGGAATCGAACCCTGTGAGATGCATTTGTGAACGGCTGATTGAAATCTGCTCATTGACTGTGGAGAACTCTGGAAAGAGCAGAGGAAGAATAAATTAAGGATGTTAGTAGCCACTGGCAATGCCTAGTGACCACTTGGCAGGTGGTCTTCTAACAGGCTGCAGATGTCAGTGATCACTTGATGTGAGAAGTGAAGATCGGATATAAAAACCGAAAGAACAGTGGATGCTGTAAATCAGGAACAAAAATAAAATAGCTGGAGAAGCTCAGCAGGTCTGGCAGAATCTGTGAAGAAAAAATCAGACTTAATGTTTCGGGTCCGGTGACCCTTCCTCAGAAGATCGGACATGTTCAGGAAGCTGACTCTCTGCATGTAAAGCTGTATTGTGGAGAGTGTCTCCTGTGAGCTATGTTTCTCTGCTCATTCTTTCAATCTATGAAGTGGTAAGTGGGTGAGGATAAGGCTTCTGTTATTACTACTGGTGCTGTTGTTTAATAAGGGGATGTTTGATCTTATTTGTTTTGTTAATAAGAATGATAGAGCAGAATATTTATCAAAAGATTTAAAATTCTTTAATGTTGGTATTTAGTGAGATGTGGGTATACAGATACGAAGAATATGAAAAGGTAGAAATCTGGTTCAGCAAACAATTAGAAAGGCTAAAGCCATGCTGACCTTTATTACAAGGAGTTTAGAATAAAAGTTTAATGAAATCATCCTGCAATTGTACAGGGTTTTACTGAGACTGCAACTTAGAATAGAATAGAATAGAACCCCTACAGTGTGGAAACAGGCCCTTCAGCCCAACAAGTCCACACCATCCCTCAGAGTATCCCACTCAGACTCATCCCTCATAACCCACCTAATCTACACATTCCTCAACACTGGGCAATTGAGCATGGCCAATCCACCTGGCCCGCACATCTTTGGACTGTGGGAGGAAACCAGAGCACCCGGAGGAAACCCATGCAGACACGGGGAGAATGTGCAAACTCCACACAGTCAGCCAAGGGTGGAATCAAACCCAGGTTCCTGGCGCTGTGAGGCAGCAGTGCTAACCACTGAGCCACTGTGCCACTTGTATACTGTATGCAGTTTTGGTCTCCATATTTTAGAAAGAAAATGTTTCTATTGGAACTGGTACATTGACAGATTCTCAAAACTGTTTTCTGGGATGAGACCTCCTTATTTGAGGTATGAAGTAACACCACATAAGCAACACTCATGTAGCACTGGGGTTTGAGAGATGGAAAGCATAGATCAGATGCCCAATCCTGTAAAGTATTGTAAATCACCTCCAGCATAACAAAAGCATGCTCTCTGAACAAGTACTCTGAAGTAAAGCCTTTCACTTGCACAAGGAGGTATATGGGAGGTTTTAACTTTCTGCTGGTCATTTGTTCAGGCCCCTCAATTCCAACTGCTCTCTCACCTTCCTTTCACTGGTGAGTTCCAAGCAACATAGTAAAACCAAACACTCCGAGTCAAACTTGAAAGGCAGAATTAAAACTGCTGCCTTTTAGTATAAAATCGCAAGCCACTGCTTCCAACGGACTTCTCACACAAAGTCGAACGTGCTGAAGCTAAAGGCAGAACATAAGAATTAGGATCATAAGTAGACAATATGGCCTCCACCTTTCAATATTATCATGACTGATTTTCCACGTCATCATGACTTTCCTGTCCAACCTTCCTATCCCTAAAATTTCTGAGAGGTCAAAATCTAGCCTAGCCTTGAATATACTCAATGATGAAGCATCCACAATCCTCTACGTAGAGAATTCCAAAGATACATAACCTTTTAAATGAAGAAAGTTCTCCTCATCTCAGTACTAAATGATCAGCTCCTTATCCTGAAGCCGAACACCAAGGTTTTAGATTCCCCAGCCAGGGGAAACAATCTTGCAGTATTGATCCTGA